AACAACACAACTGGTCAATATAATAAAGAAACGCAAGCTGGAATACTTCGGTCACATTATGAGACACTCTGAAAAATATGATCTTTTACATCTGATCATTCAGGGAAAGATACAAGGTGATCGTGGTCCTGGTAGACGAAGAACATCATGGCTGAAAAATCTAAGGCAATGGTATGGAAAATCAACTACATCGATATTTAGAGCTGCTGTCAATAAAGTCACGATAGCGAATATGGTAGCCAACATGATATCCAACGATCGATAATGGTCATGGAACTAGAAAAAGAAGGTAAAAGGCGTTAGTGGCAAAAAGTGCCAACCTATTTAATCAGTTTTGTATTTATTCCATCTATACCTGGATGTTTTCTAATTTTCAAATTTTCAATCGAGTTTACAGTTAATCCATTGTTATTACCTGGAATTACAGTAACAAGTTTTGTTTACTAACAATACGTTAAGGTTATCATATGGCCGTGAAGTTTTAAAATACAAGTATGGTAACCTTAAATAAAATCACAGACATTCTGTTCGAGGAAAACCACAGTGCAATTTTTTTAAAAATAATTTTAGAAAAAAATATAAAATATATTTAACCTTTTATATGCGAATATTTATATGTCATTGCATCAAAATCGACATTACATTTACATACTTTTACTGTGTTGGTTTTACATGAAATAAATTACCTTCTCAATGCAAAGAGATAATAATTTACCTTCTCAGTTAAATTATCGAACCAATTCATTACTTTGCAAAAAATTTATTTGAAACGAAAATTCTGATATAGGTCGATTTTTAATTTTGAATGCCCATTTTTTTAAATAATTTGCGAAAGTGATACCTACCACCAGTTGCTCATTGATCGTTGATTTTTTAACTTGTGGGCCTTGTTAGTTGTACCTCATTTAAAAAGGCTTTTAATAATGTATTCAGAAGTATCATACTTAGGGAAAATAAAATTTATTATTAATTGCAATATTAAATTAATTATACTGGGAGACGTAAATGCAATAACGGGCCAAAATGTTAAAGATAAAATAATTGGTCAGTTCGAAGAAGATACTAGAAATGACAATGGAGATAGGCTAATCACCATATGTGAACAAAACAATCTGAGAATACTTAACGGCTTTTTCCAACATCGAGAAAAACATAAATTTACTTGGGTCCAACAAACAAGAAATTTGAAATCCATTATAGACTATGTGATTGCAAGACAAAATACGCAGCTCAATATACAAGACGTAAGAGTATTTAGAGGAAGGACATGTGGAAGCGACCACTACCTAGTAAAGGCTAAAATAATGCCCATAAGACTAGATAAGAAAAAAGAACACAATGAGGAACAAGAGCAAAAAACAATAGAAATCAAATAAAACTTGAATAGCCTCAACCATGAAAGCACAAAGGCACTGTACAAAAAGCGACTCAATGAAAAGCTCTTACAAGAAAACTTTGATAGTGTTGAGCACCATTAAAATTACATAAAAGAATGTCTCAAAAGTGTAGCAGAAAAAGCCTGAGGTAAATATGAAAAAGCCGAACGAAGGAAGCCATATTAGTGGGATGAAGAAATAGAAGAAAACGAAAAAGTACGAGGTGCGATAACTAAGAAGAAAAACGAAAGCTGGGAAAGGAGCTGCTCCAGAATAAACACTTACTTGGGGGGTAGCAGAAGCACCGAAAGCTGGAAAATACTTCAATCTCTTCGACAAAATAGGACTAAAGACATTATCACACCGATCAGCTTAGATAAATGGGACGAATACTTCGCAAAGCTACTGGCGGAAGAAAGGGCAGAATATTTGCAAACACCATAAACACAATCAGAGATGCAAGTACATACAAAAGCTATCCCAATTAGGATTGACGATAAAGAAGTAGCAAGAGTATGCCAACAATGAAGAATCACCATGAAAATCACCAGGCCAAGCCAATCACGGACCAAGCAAATTATATAAGCAGCTAGCCAGCCTTTTCCAAAAATGTATTAATGGGGAGAGTATACCGGAAGAGTGGAGGACATCGTTTATCACGACAATACATAAAAAGGGAAGTAAAGATGTATGTGACAATTATCGAGGAATCGCAATCCGTAGCACCGTCTCAAGAGTTTATGGGAAACTCATCAAAAAGAGAATGGAAGACGAATTCAGTGATATGGAGGCCGAAAACAGGCTGGCTTTAGTTCAGTAAATTCCCGTTTAATCCTCAGAAGTTTCAGTGTAAAATATTATGTGAATTAAAGGTAATCTTTTGTGTTTAATTTTCATAGTGAAATAGACATTTTTCAAACAAAAATAATTGATTTCCTAATAATTTAAATAATGTAATATGTATTATATATCCTAAATCAAGGGCGTCGTTATGCTGTCAATCTATTTGTTCTTTGTCATTAAAATTAAATGTTGACATATGACAGCTAGCTCTAATTTGTTTTTGTTGTGACAATTTTTGATTTGTATGTGGAAAAGGTTAAACCCTACGATATTTTCATTTATAAGGATATCCTTAATTTCAATAATCTATTTTGGCCACAGTGATAAATAACCTAGTAACCATTTTGAAAGACTTTGTAGCAATCTCCATTGTAAACAGATTGGACATGTAAGTTTTTTCTTTGGAATTTTGTATTTTGCAACTATTAATATAGTATATTTTTTTGTGCCATCTGTATTTTGATAACTGTTTGTTTGAGACCAAAATAAATGTTTGATTTATTTCTCTGATTATTTTGTTTGTCTTTAGTTTAGAAAACTCTCCTAACCTTTTTTTTGTGCTTACTTTTTTTCGGAAGGAAGAGCCTTTTTTTTTCCTTCAGCAAGACAAGGATCCTTCAAAGCGGCGCCTTTATCTTAAATTACTAAAAGTCTTTCCTTGTTGTCATCTTTGCTCAGTTGTGCAGGAGATTTATGTAAGTACCCCTTTGTTTCATTTGTGTGTAGTTACCCCAATCCGACCTCTTTATTATTCAACTTATCCACGACCCAGCTCTCCAATTAACCTCTGAGTTCCGTACGCACAAGTATCGATTATTTTGCTTGCCCTATCTCCAGCCCTCTAATTTTTACCAACATAATCTTACCCTGAGGTAGGCAAAATATTTTCGTTACAGGGTTGCCATCTGATGAATTTTCGATTTTCAAATTCTGAAACCAGCCTGGTGTTTACCTAGTATTTGTTCTGTATATGGTGCCATACGATGGCATAATATAGTGGAGAAAATTTTATACGCTACATTTAGGAGCGTAATTTCTGTGTGGTTAGAGTATTCATAGAAATCTCCTTTTTGGTATGGTGCAAAGTATTTCAATATTCCAATCACTAGGAAGGGTTTTCTGTGTACATATAATCTCTTCCGGAAAATTTGTTTCTGGCTAGTTTTTGAACTCTATGTTTCTCAATATATGTCCGATAAAATTCATCCACAATTTTTACTCCACTGTGGCAAATATGCTAGGAAATGGCTGACTGATTTCTATACAGATATGTTAAAATCAGGAGAAATCTACCATTCACTAAAAAAGGCCTCCATTATAGCCATATTAAAACCAGGAAAGGCAAATGATCAGCCCCAACACTACTACCGACCGATTGCACTGCTGAGCTGCGTCTATAAACTGTTGGAAATCTTAATCTACAACAGAATTAGTAGAAACATATTTGAATTGATACCTATTGAGCAAGCAGCGTTCAGACCTAACCGCAGCTGCACTGATCAGATTTTATCCTTAACAACATATATTGAAGCAGGTTTTCAAAGAAAGCAAAAAACATCTGTTGCTTTCATTGACCTATCAGCTGCATACGATACCGTCTGCAGACAAAGCCTAATCTGCAGACTAATCCGTGCCATCACGTGTCAGAAGGTGACTAAACTCATTGATAACGTGCTCACCGACAGACCTTTTCAAGTCACAATGGGCAATTTTAAAAGTGTCCAAATAAAGCTTAGCAATGGACTGTCACAGAGATCTGTTTTGGCACCATTACTGTTCAATTTATACATCGCAGACCTATCTGGGACAACTTCGCAGACATTTCGCTACGCTGATGATTGGGCTATTGCAGCAAGACATAATAACATGGATATCACAAAAACAATATTAGCGGATGACCTTGTCATTATGGGAGAATACTTTCACAAATAGAGGCTAGGGCACAATGCAATGAAAACCGAAGTGTGCTGTTTCCATTTGAATAACGCCCAAGCCAACAAAAAACTCTCCGTCCACTTCGAAAACAGACTGCTCACTTATAACTCAACACCAAAATATATTGTAGTGACTCTAGACAGAACATTGCGTTTTAAAGAACATCTTCAAAGAAAGACAGCAAAACTGAAAACGAGAAATAATATAGTCCAGAAGCTATGTGGCACTACATGGGGGTCCTCAGCCTCCATACTCAGATCATCCGCTCTCAGACTTGTATACTCGGTGGCTGAATATGCTTCCCCGATATGGTTCAATAGTAAACACACGAAAATTATTGACACCCAATTAAACCAGATAATGCAAATGATCTCAGGTACAATTAGACCTACACTGAACTATTGGATTCCCATTCTGAGTCACATTTCACTGCCGAAACTGCGAAGAAGTAATTCTCTTCTCAGAGAATATCGAAAAATCGAGGCTAACCATCAACTACCCATCCAACATGATAAGCTTGATATTGAAATAAACAGACTGCGCTCCAGATATCCTCCATTGCCAAGAGAGGAGAATATTTCAACATCACCAACGCTTGGAGAAGACAATGGGAGAGCGACTCACCACAGCAAGCACACCAAATTTATTTTGTCTTAATATGAGTCTATCAGTAAAATCAGCAATTTGTCTTTTATTCAAGCAAATTTGTATTCGATATTTTGCTAAATTTATAAGCCAAACTAAAAAAAAATAAACCAATCTATAGTTTTGCGGTAAAATATTTTTTGTCTATTACCATCTCTTTTCACACACGAAAAAAAAAACAAGAAGATCTAAAGTATATAAGATTTATTAAAAACTTCTGAAACATCCCCTCAATAACGACTTGTTAATTACTCTTTTTTATACAAAGCTTAGGATTTTAAACACCACAAATAACATACAATTAACATATTAATATTAATTTAATCAACATCGATCTTTTTAAAGTTTCCGTGGTATCCAAGAAGTTCGCTATTTTCCAACTTCTCTGGCCGCAATTTTTCGTTCACTTTTAAATCCTCCATTTTATCAAATCTTTCTTTATATTCTTTGAATTTAGCTGCCCATAGTTCTAAAAATAATAAAATAACTCAACTTATATAAACATGTATCAAATGAAGAAAAAAATTTACCAATAATAAAAATAATGAAAGTATGATACAGTCTGTCCCAAACCCTTTTTTCAGTGCGTCACTAATTTTAACGTCATATAGGATTTTAAGAATGTCGAGAATTATTACATGACATTTTAGTTAAATCTGACAGTTGCAGGATCGTAATCGGCTAAACGTGAAAAGGTTATTTTTTTTAATGCATAGCAGTTTGTCATACTATTCTATTCTGTTCTATTTTATATATTCCATGGAAAGTGCTTAATTAGCGAAGATTTGTTTATGGATTTATTATTATTTATTACAAGCACTAGGGAATTGGAAGGATTGTTTATTTAAAATAACGCTTCTTCCTAGAATCTTTTAAGAGTTGAATGGTAAAAAAAATTTACTGACAATTGCAAGGCATCAAAGTAAACATTCCTGTGATAAAATAATATCGATTTAAATCAGTCATATTTGGTAAGTAATTTTCTGAGTAATTTTCTGCCACAAGTTTGTGTGGCAGCCAATAGTTTAATTTTGTGAAGAGTTGTCATTAAATAGTGGAAATAGTTTAAATAGTGAAGCAGTTGATTTTTGAGTTATTCTACCAGATTTGGTGTGCAAATGAAAGAAGGTTATAAAGTTTTATAAAGACAATATAAATAGTTTAAATAGTGAAGCAGTTGATTTTTGAGTTAATCTACCAGTTTCGATATCCAGATGAAATCGTGTTAATGGAGTTTAGTTAAAAAACAAGATACCGAATGTAAGTTTACCTTCTTTTTTATGAATAACAAAAATGAATATTATATTTCAAACAATTATATCCTACATTTCAAGAAAATGTCGTGGTTCTAAAAAGAACCGTTTTAATACATTTAAATATCCATAAAGGTATTAGTTTAAGATATTTCCCCAATATCATTCCGGAATTCACAATCTGATTCGCGAACGACAGAAACTGATAATAAAGATAACTCAGCCTCTTTTTCTAATTGAAACTAATTTAATAATTTTAATATTAGTCTTTTTTCATTCTCGGTATATCTCGGAATATTTAAAATATTTTTATGACAATAAATACAAAATTTAATTTTCACTGTAGTTAAAATGTCTGAAAATACTAACGTGGAATGGCAATTATCATTTTATCAGTTGACATTGTGAAAGTACTGTCACTGTCATTATCAAGATCATCTGTGTCAAATTATATTTATATGCATAATTGATTGGATATCTATTTAGCTTATTCTAAACTCCAACCAATTATACGTTCGTAAGTAGAATTCGCTTTAATATGCGAATACCCGTGAACGATACCTAATTTTCTAAGTTCTATGTATAATAATCAGCGACTCACGTTTTTTTCTGTCACTTCTAGCTTAATGCGTTAGAGAGAATTCGAACAACTATGACGCACTGAAAGAAGGGTTTGGGACGGACTGTAGTTATATCTTAATAGTAAAAATTTATTAACCCTTTGGGACCCAGTGGGACCCGTTTTACATTATATTCTTCGATATCGCAGTTTATCGACTACACTGCACATGTTTCCCTACGAAAGTGATATTGGCAATGACATAATTCTGTCTCCGGCTTCTATATACCATGTAGCTTCGCCATTCTTCAAAAATCTTCATTCTTCGCCATTTTAAAGTGTTTGTTTGTCTTTGTGTAGTTAATTGTTATGTCCCATTTTACATTTATAATATTCTGCTCTTGTCGGATAGGCCACAACTGACAAAATGCCCCTGAGGATGATCTAGTGATTGAAAGTACTTGGGCAAGATTGAATTAATGCTTTGTTCGATATTTCTTGCATATCATTAAAGTACTATTAAATTCGCTGTAGTTGGTACAGCCATTACAAATTGACGGAACATGCCTAAGGAGTTTTCTATAAAAAGCAAAATGAACAAGGAAGACTCTGTATTTCTAACAAATAAGTTCCAAACCCTAGCAAAATGGCAAGATACCAAACAAGTATCCTTGTTGAGTTATACAACTATTTAAAGGAAAAATAAAAGTGTGACCAATGTGGACGTTCCTTGTCCTGCTGTTGTTGCTTTATACAACTAAATTATGGGTGAATAATGATTTAAATCGAACACGCAAGAAAACACCTTTTAGAAACTTTGTTTTAGCTATCAGAAGATCTCATTTCTAAAAGTAAAACCACTTCACAAGTAAAACTTAGAAAAATAAGTGTAGGTAGACCTTTAAAGAGATCACGAAATAAAAATGCCGATTGAAACTGCTAAGAGACGGCGTTGTGTTGGTTGCTCAAGAATGGGTAAAGAAAGAAAAACCACAACCATCTGCACAATGTCCGATGTAGGTATGTTTAAACATTGTTTCACATTATATCACACATATTAATTTTGCATATTTTTGTAAATCTTTCTAAAATAAAGTATTCATTAATTTGTGGCCGTAATCTCCCAATATACCCTACGGGACATAATAATCCATCATTCCCATTGGGACGTATATATCCCCCACTATTTTTTTGTTTTTTTTTATGTAAAAATTTGGTTTGGTACACTTTAAAAACCTTCTATGGTTACCAGTACAAGGAAGTAATTAAAGTCGAGATCGTAACAACACAAAAAAAAATTGGGTCACAATGGGTTAAGGCATTAAATATGTCCACAATCTATATTTAGAGTTGTAAAGGGGTCTAAAATGAATAGATATAGAAAATTTTCTCCTGAAGACACGAACATATTATCAAGAAGTTAAATTGGGAACAGCGAGGAATTAAAATCAATTGCAGATTAGAATTCCAATTGCAATTAAGTTACCCAAGATTTATTGTTGACATAGTACTCATAAGCAACAATGCAGAGGAACTACTCTATATACTAAAGGACCTTAAACAAGAATCTGTGAAAATCAGTTTAAAACTGGCATAAAATAGAAGAAAATAGAAAAGAGTTGAGACCTCATGAGAGGACTTTGATCAGGAGTGGACGAATAGAAGAAAATAGAAAAGAAGAAGAAGAATATTTTAAACAAGAGAAAATAATGTTAAGCAAAAATAATCAGATAATATTTAAAGTTAAAAGGAATGTTAATATTTTGTTATTAATAATAATACAAAGATAAGTTTATTAACGTGTATTTTGACCTTGGGTACCAAAACTTAGACACATTGATCAGAAAAGTTTCTTCCAAACAGGCTTTATAAAGCAGTGTCTATTGATTTCATCACTTTAAAGATAGATTTTCAACGGAAAAACCAGAAAATAGAAAAGCATTATAGCGGTATCTAATGGACAGAGACCTTATGAACATAAGTAAATAACTATTACAAAATGCACATGACTTCTCAGTAAAGTTAAATTAAAGGATATTTTGTAATTGACAATAATAACAACTACCAGAGACAGGATGTATTTTGCCTGATTTCGAAAGTAGAAGAAGAAAAGATGTTATTATGATTAACCTTTATTGCTTAGTTAGTAAATAAAATAAATGAAACGTGACTATTCACTTCTGTAATGATATATAAAATAATTTAATTTAAACTTACTTTGAAGTTCTTCTAACGATGGTGCTTTTCCGCCATAATCACTGGGTAGAGAGTCTTGAGGGACAACTTTAAGCATATCGTCCAAGCTTTCATGAACAAAAATCTATAAAATATATCACATCATTTCTTAGTTCTAAGTAACAGAAAATACATTTTAATTATGTTAAAATTACTTTCGTACTAAATTACACAAGTGGCTTAAAAAGTTTTATTTCTTTATGGTTTGGTGGTAGAATCTCAACTACTCTGCGATACTAATGCGTATTAACATAAAATTTTGTCATTTTATAAAATTTTCACATACACCCACACACATATGTGATCAATCCTGTCCCTAAGGAACATGTGTGTGCCATTTGTTGAGGCTTTTCCTCCACCTCTCCTCAACGTGTGACTTAGATGAGGAGGCTTATGATCTGAAAGTTACCTTGGTTGCCTTGGGTACTGAGACACCCTCTGTTTTTATTGACTGTGGTTAAGCCACCTAACTGTAGGGTTAGCACGCATATCGGTTTTTCTCCCTATTTACTTTACTGACTCTATAGAAGTTATTCTAACTTGACATCGGGACTGGTGTGTATAAAAAAGAAAAAAGTGTGTGTTCCGAACATAGAGCCAGCAGCCTGGGAGGATGACTCTCTGTCCGAAAAAAGTGTGTGCTCGCATACTCAGCCGCCGACTTGGCAAAATAAAATTTGTTCTCCTCGCCGGCTGAGCATCTGGGTAGGGTCCGGCCAGCGACTCCATGTATGGCGCACATGACCTCGGTGCTCGGAATTCGCGATAGGATCAGCATTCGATCTGTCTGAGGAGCCTATGACTGACGGCTAGTTTTTTTTCTTTTTTTTTAACATTTTTAGCGTATCTACTTTTAATCAATTCTGTTTATGTTTTCGCAACACTCTTAGGACATTCATACAATGACCTCTACATTTTCTTCTAATAAACTAATTACAGTAATTAAAGTAGTTACAGTTTACATCTTCAAATATATGTATTTAGTACAGGTTACATGATACTGTGTACCTACAACTCGAAAAACTTCCTTTTGTTAGAAGGTTACCACTGATAGTTATAATGCCGAATTTCTGCGTGTTTAAACATGCAGTTGATCTTTATCGTTGCGGTTTCGCATCATTTGGCGCAATCAATAATACTGCAGCCATTTTTGGAAGTTGCATTTTTGCAACACTGAGTTGAAAAATAAATTATTTTAATGACATGTTTAAAAACTTATAGAAGAAGAGAAGAAAAGAAGAAGAAAAGAATAAAGAAATTTGTCGAATACATTTTTGAATAATCTGTCTGTGAAACTGTTATTGCTCGTCTAAAAAATTATGTTATTAGCTGTGAAATTGTCCGATCTCAAAAAACACACTACCGCTACAACTAATTATAGATCAAGAACTCACAGAATATTAGCCCTTCTAGAGAATTCCAATGTCATCAAAAAAGTAATTAGTGTTAATGTACATTTGATTCTATATCGTTCATTTGGAAGAAGAAGGTTTCATCTCACAATGTTAAAGTTTTTTTTATTGCATCAATAGCTTCCAAATAATGTCTTATGCTATAAAAAAAACAAACTATGTATATGCGAAACCGAAAAGGTTATGAAAAGGAAAAGGACAAGAGAGGAAAGCATGGAAAACATCAAAAAATAAGTGAGGGCATAACAAATTTAATTAGAGCTCACATGAAGTCTATCCCCAGGAAAGAAAGCCATTATTGTCGCATTTCACTAAAGAGTACATTGAAGGAAGTATAACCATAGCCGATTTACAAAGAGACTACCTTGAGTTATGTAAGGAACAAAATGTTTCTTCGGGGAACTACCTTATGCACTTTAAGCTCTTCAACGAAGAATTTAATCTAGCATTTCATATCCCTAAAAAAGACCAATGTGAAGAGTTCTGGCGATACAGGTCTTCGTCAGAGGAAAAGAAGGCATCTTTACAAGAAAAGTTCGATAAACATTTAACAGAAAAAGACTTATCCAGAACAGAAAAAGATATTGACAAAAATATTGATGGTACAAACAAAGTCGTAGTGTATGATCTTCAAGCAGTTTTGCCTTGCCCAACTGGAAAAGCATCATCATTTTATTATGTGTCAAAACTGAATGTTTTTAATTTTACACTGTATGATATTAAGTCTCACGAAGGTACTTGCTTTTTATGGCACGAGGGTGAAGCTTTGAGGGGGTCAAATGAAATAGGATCTTGCATTCTAAAGTTTCTTAAAAATATTTGTAATGACGAAAACTTAAATAAAATCTTCTATTCTGATAATTGTGCAGGGCAAAATAAAAACAAATTTATAATTGCCCTTTACTTGTATGCTATAAATAATTTGCCCATAAAATCAATAACTCATAATTTTTTTTGTCCCAGGACATGGAGAGAGTGAAGGGGATAGTGACCACGCTATGATAGAAAAGCAGATAAAAAATATAAAAAATCAAGTCCAATATACGTACGTGACCAATATGGGTGCATTATTCGGACAGCTAAAAAACTGGAAGTCCATATAAAGCACATGAAATTGGTTTTAGTGACGTGTTTGTCTTAAAGCTTTGTGTGCAGACTTACACCTTACTATTCCCAAAAATTTTAATATATCTGATATAAGGATCTTGATGTTAGATCGCAACAATCCTACTATTCTTTATTATAAATCATCTTTTAATCACGCAGAATCTGATCAAGTGGAAATTGTGCGTTCTAGGCTTAAAATTAATATCAATAATATTGCTTTAAAGAAAGCTTTTACAAGAAAAGTGGGAATCACTGAAGCCAAGAAAAATGGACTGTTGTCAATAGAAAAAAAGCGATGTGTTCCTGAATACTATTTAAGTTTTTATAAAAATTTGTAAAGAAAAACAATCTTTATTATTATTGCTTTCATATTGTATTGTGTCATTGTGTGTATTTCATGCACATGAAATACAGAGGCGAATAGGCCTAACTTGGGCAGCATTTGGCAAATTAAGCCATATTCTAAAAAGTTCAATTCACATGTGTCTCAAGCGAAAGGTTTATAACCAATGTGTTTTGCCTGTACAAACTTACGGAGCGGAGACTTTAACACTGACGCAAAAATCTGCGAATAAACTCAGAGTTACGCAACGAGCCATGGAACGTGCAATGCTGAACGTGAGCCTTCGAGACCACATAACAAACCAACAAATCAGGCAATATGCAGATGACACTGTCCTACTGGCTGATACAGACACAAACTTACAGGAGGTTATAGACCACCTCAAGGATGCTTGTCGAGAGTTTGGAATGAAGATCAACGAAAAAAAAAACAAAAGTAATGGTGATCCAAAGAAAACAGAATATCCCCTTACCTATAAAAATAAATGGGAATATTTTAGAACAGGTAAACCAATACAAATACCTTGGCTGTTGGATTAATTGCAAGCTGGACCCAGAACAAGAAATTAAAGCGAGAATTGCTCAAGCTAGGGATAGTTTAATTAAGAGGCGCGTTCTATTCTGCGATACACATATAAATATTAAATTGAGATTAAAACTTGTAAAATGTTTTATCTGGTCTGTTCTTCTCTACGAAGTCAAAACGTGGACTTTAAAAATAAAGAGCCTGAATAGAATCGAGGCATTTGAAATGTGGGTGTACCGTAGAATTTTAAAAATTCCTTGGGCAGCACGAAAAACAAACGAAGAAGTACTAGCTAGACTCAATGTAGAAAAAGAACTATTGAGAACAGTCAAAAGAAGAAAAACCAGTTATTTAGGGCATTTGTTGGGCAACGAGAAATACTACATCCCTCAGTTGATAATAAAAGGCAAAATAGAAGGAAAGCGAGGAATTGGAAGAAAAAAATTGTCCTGGTTACGTAATATCAGAAACTGGACAGGACTTGGATTTGAGGAACTCTTAAGAGCAGCTGAAGATAGACAAACGTTTGCCACCATAACCACTAACCTCCATTGATGGAGACGGTACTTGAAGAAGAAGAAATCAGGCAAAGATCAGGAGTTCAAGACGTCATCGAAAGAACCACGTCGCTTAAGTGGAACTGGGCAGGGCACTTAGCCAGAGCACAAGATGGACGGTGGACAAGACGTATTATGGAATGGAGGCCCAGAAACTATAAAAGAAGCCGAGGACGACCACCGACTAGATGGACCGATGATATAAAACGTGTAGCGGGAAACTGGCTACAAGCGGCCCAGTGTAGAGAACACTGGAAAGAACTGAGGGAGGCCTATGTCCAGCAGTGGACGCGATTGGCTGATTGATGATGATGATGATTGTATTGTGTAATGGATACGAACTAGTTAAGTAGTTTTTTTATGTTTTATTAACCATTTTTATTAAATAATATTGATATAATGGCATTTTTAATAATACTTAACCAATATAATTTCTAAAATGTAACTTAATGAGCGGATCCAATTTGGAATATAATTATCAGAGCGATTAAAAGATCAGAAATCTATCATACTCAATCACTAAATCCTGTAATATCAATAAACACTGCACAATATAAATGAAAAAAATTAATAGGAATTTTAAAACCTCTCTACTGAAAAAGTGAAAATTCTTAGATGTAACCCTCTTCTTCCAAATGAACGATATGTTCATCACTTACCCGCTCTCGTAATTTTTTACTTAACAATGTCCTTGCCAAAACTAATAGTCTGTCCATATATGTAGGTACATTAATTAAGTGCATTTCATTAAGTCTGTTGGCCCATACATTCTAAAATAATAATTTTGTATTATTAATTCCATATCTAAACATTTTTACTAAGAATTAGAATTATTTTAAACCTAAAGCTAAGAAATCATAGTTCATTTTTTCATCGTCAAAGGAAGAAAACTTTAATAGCCAAGCTTTTTTAATCCAGAATGATTGCGTGGGGAAAAGTTGGGAAAGACGGCATGGAAAATCTGTAAGTCACCACAATGTCTTTCATACTAAATTATCAATTTTCTATCGCATCTACTCTAATGCTACATTATCCACCACTTTTCTCTTTCACAAATCTTGCAGTCGTTATTACCGAAAATTTAATCTTCTAAGGTAACTAATTATTCACAATACAAATCAGGCTAGCCACCCTTTTCCTTCTCAAATCTTGTGGCACCATATTTTTTGCTCCCTTTCTCTCCTTCCCTCTGGATTTACAACAACTTCCAAATTCCAAAAAAAAAACTAAAACTTTGATTACATATTTAAACTCAACACAAAATTGATAGTCCAAAATATTATCGAAATGTTCAGTTCACACAACTATTTTGAACCTATCAAGGATCAAACATGTCTCAAATAGCTTCCAGAGAGTATCACCCCACTTCTTGCAAATATCATTATTACATATCTTAAAGTTAGCTATTTTTCTACAAATTATAAAATTACGAATACAATTGTGCTACTTAAACTGGATAAACCTAAGACCTATCCCACTCATAAATACGCTAGAATAATCCTCGAGTAAATTCTTAAAGAGCGATTCAATGGATTATTCAAAGCCAACGATTTCATTCCCAGTTATCAATACAGATTTCATTCTGCTAAATCTCCTCAACATGTATTAGTAGACTTTTACTTAAGTAATCCAAGCAATAAACGACAACAACATTTAAAAGACCTTCGATCAAGTTTGGCATAAAGGACTTGTTCGAAAACTTATTGAAATCTGAGTAACATTGCATATAAATATTGTAATACCATAACTGAGTTACCAAATTGTGAAAAGCCTATTAATTAAATTAAATTTATTAATGAATGTAGTGCAATTAAGGCAAAACAAATAATGAATAATAGAAATAATGGACATTTAATTGTTATTATCCAGTACTGCATAACGTTTTTGCTGATCGATTTACAAATAAATTTCAACAAACACATCAAATTGATCATCCTTTTTTACTTTCATATACAATCATACTTATCTAAATTAAATTTTCAATTTCCAAAAACCTATGATACCTTATCAATCCACAACCCTGCACCATGGACAATATCTATTCCTGCTATCGACATCAGTCTAACAAACCTAAGAAAATCAGAGATATCATCAACCGCAGATATGCGTCAAAAAATGAAGACAGAGTTGGAGCAGCAATTTATTCGGAAGACACCTCAGTTAGTTTCAAATAGCCATCAATGACAACCATCTTTTCGGCTGAATTATTCGCAATTCTAAAAGCACTATCATTAATACAAAACAAAAACAAAGAAAGATGTATAATAATCACAGATTCTCTAAGTTCATTATCCTCACTGACTCAATTATACTGTGACAACCCCCTTCTACTTCTTATTAAAAAATAACTTAAAAACATTTCTAGTAAGAACATCCAAGTGCACTTTTTATGGGTGCCTTCTCATGTAGGAATTGAAGGTAACGAAGCCGTAGATTAACTAGCTAAAAACGTACCAACTAACCCGATGTCCGAAGAAAGTAACATATTGGTACAAAACGATTTAAAACCATACTTAAAACAAAAATAATTAAAAAATGGCAACAAACTTGGAACAACACTCCATCAAGGCTACACGAAGTCGACAAACACTGTCATACACTGCTTACTCATGACTATTTATTACAGCGCAAAAACAAACCAGTGTGTGAAGTATGCAACAGTGTTCTAACGGTAAAACATTGTTTAATACAGTGTCCCAAATATAACAGTGAACGACTCAAATATAGCATACCCAACTCCCTAAGAGATGCCCTAGAAGAAAATACAGATAACCGAAAAATATTTTCCTATCTTAAAGACTGTCAACTTCTTCAAAAGATCTAAAACGTACATTTTAACACACATACATATTATTATTATAATTATTATTGTAAACTAATGTATATTTACATATTGTATCAACTGTCACATATGTTACATAATCTAAATACGCTAATAACCCCGCGTGGTTGATCCGTTAATAAAAAAAAATGTTACTAATATTTTCCAGAATAAAAATAAAACAAACAATACTTACTTCCAATACAAAAGCAATTTTTTTAACATATATTGGAGTACATTTAATAATTGTCGCAAATTTAGCGTACTTGCAATCGAGAACAAAGATTTCTCCCAAAGTAAGGTCCTCTTTATTCTTAATTTCAAATAGATTTCTTAACATCTTCCCTGCATGATCATACACATCAAACGTCTCTGGATCTACATCGTTAATTTTGAATATAGTTATCCTATGAAAATTTTCTGTGAGATGTGGTAGTGGTATCATATATCTAAAATATTGAAGCCTTTAGTATGCTTAGTGCAATACATATTTCGTATTTATGTAAACTGGACGTAAACTGGACTGTTTATGTTAATATATAAATAGTCACATGAAGTGGATAAGTAAAAACATTATGATTTAAACTGGAAGACTATTAAAGAATTAAGCTATTTTAATTTTTAAACACGTTTTAGAACGAGACAACTTTGGAAAACATCCACCCGCAGATAAGTTCATAAATAATTAGTCTACTTTCAACAATAATACTAGTAAAATATACAGGTTCCCTTGTTTTCTTGTTTATTAACAAGACATGAATACATAAAAATAGTCATAAAACGAATTAAATATGAATTAGTTTATTTCTGATATAATACCAAAGTATAGTTTGCAAATAAAACAAAAAAAGCAGTTGATGTTAGAAAACTGATAGATAAACATTCTGATTGAAACTGGAAGTGTATTGAATAAATAAGATATTTTAAGGTTTAAACACATTTTAGAACAAGACAACTTTGAAAAACATCCACCTGCAGACAAGTTCATAAATAATTAGTTTACTTTCAACAACAATACTAGTAAAATAAACTGATTCCCCTTTTTTTCTGTTTTTGACGCAAACATTTTTTATTGAAAAGTATCTTTAGGTAGTCTTTTATTTTTTCCCCTCCTTCTTTTAACATTTCAATTAGAATTTCATCGTCTCCCGGAGCCTTATTTCTTTTCACATCTCTAATTGCTTTTTCCATTTCTTCTCCGGTTATGGGGGTAATATTTCGGAGTTTACATTCATTATTTTCTTTTTCAGGTTTTATTGAGTTGTATCAGGTGGACTGTTTTTAGAGCTGTAGAGGTCACTATAATATTCACTTGTTATCTTAGATATTTGGGTTCTGCTTTTTTCTATTACACCTTGTTTATTTTCCATCTCTATGATTTTATTTATTCCTAGGTGGGACTTGATAGATCTTAAGTTTCTATTTTCTTTTATAATCTTCTCGATTCGTTCTTCTTGATGCCGTTTGAGATATTGTTTTATATGTCTTCTTATTTCTGCAGTAAGGGTTTTGTATTCAGTTGCATTTCTTTTATTTTCTAGTAGTAGGTTTCTTCGTTGTTGTAGCATGTCTAAAGATATGGCACTTAGTTTTGATTTTTTGTCTGATTTTGCTGGTGCTACTTCTAAGCTAGTCTTTAGAAGTTTTTCAGTGATGGCTTTGTTTAGTTGATCTAGATTTAGGTCTGTTAGCTTTAGTTCTTCAGCTGTTCTTAATTTGTTTTGGTATTGTTATTTATTCTCCTTTAATTTTTCTGGGTGGACTTTTTTCTTAGAGTGCATATATTGTCTTCGATCTTTTCTGTGTTTAATATTTATTTTAGCCCGTATCATTCTGTGATCACTACCAGTAGAGATTTAGTTTATTACTGTGACGTCTTCAAAAATGTTCTTTTTGTTTGTTAAAATGTAGTCAATTTCATTTTTAGTGTTCCCATCTGACGACATCTATGTCCATTTCCTACGTGACTCTTTCTTGAAGAAAGAGTTCATGGCAAATAATTTGTTGTTTACTAGATAGTTAACCAATAGACCTCCTTTTTTATTTCTTACTCCATGTCCAAAGTCTCCAATACAGTTTTCGTTTTCTTCTAGTTTTTTGCCCATTTTCGCATTAAAATCGCTATTCGATATGTCATGGACTCTGTGAGGTGTTCATAGAACTCTTCCATTTCTTCGTTTGTGTGTGTGTGTAGATGTTGGCGCATAAATCTGAATTATTTTTAAGGTGACCTTTCGCTGATATTTATAATTAATAAAGCGATTCTTTTTGTTCTTCCTCAATTTTATGATCATATTCGAAATCAAAAAACCAACTCCATCTAAACTTTCGTTTTCTCTACCTTTAAAATACAATAAGTTTCCAGACTCTAGCGAGATGCAGTTTTCACCTTTTCTTTTTACCTCCGATAGTCCGATTATGTCCCATTGCAGGTGTTTAACTTCTTCCTCTAATTCATAGAGTTTCTCGTCTTTAGACAAAGATCTTACATTGAAAGTTGAGATATATATTTTTGTTGTCTATATTGACGAACTATTGTCTCCCCCAGATCCGATGAGACTGACCTTATTAAATAAGGTGTAGGATTTGCCACAGTGTGAACCACCTACCTAGGGACCAGTTCCGTTCGGGTTTGTATTCGCCATTTGAGAAGGGAGTTGTTGACCATAAAACACCACGCTGGTCAGACGGATTGGTGAGTGTATATTCAGCCGCCCACTCTAGGTCAGACGCTGTTCGTAGCCGTCCACTCTGGATCAGATGGTACTGATTTTATATTAACCCTAAAATCAGGAGGTGCCAATTCCGCCACCCTCGCCGTACCGAAGGTATCCTTCTCCGCCTTGAATGCCGTTGTGGTCTTCATCCGTGATCCTGGGCAAGGGACCCTGAGCAGTGACTAGTTCCCCGGGTCAAGAAACATCTGGAATCTGTGGAGGGCAGGGAATGATTCATTCTCCCTTATAGGACTGTCTTAGGAGTTCCTACCCACTACCCTTAATATAGGTCTAATTGCTGCTTTATAGATTCTTTTTGTTGTGTCTTGTCTTAGGTTTATGTTCTTCTAGATTGTGTTATTAGGAGGTCTCGCCGCTTTACTTGCTTTTAAGCTTTGTTGTCATACTTTTTCTTCAACATTTCCGTAACTAGTTCTATTCCCAGATATGTAAACCTTGCATCCTGCTTTATTATTTTCCCATTAATTTCGATTTTACATCGTAGTGGGTATTTATATATTGTCATACATTTGGTGTTTTCTGCTGATATTTTGATCGCAACAAATATATTCGAATTTAAAAGTTTTTAAGCAAAAAACTAGTTTATTTTATTACTTATTTTTACAATCCTTATGCAGAAATTTTTTGGCCTTGAATATATTTATCATATAAAATTCTTCCAGACTATAAAAAAAGGCGAACAAAACAACTAGTAATAATTTATGGTCTTTAAATAAAAAGAAGTTATCAGTAAATTAAAACTGCAAATAATTTAAATATAAAATTAAATCGTTAAAGCTGTTAATTCATACTGGATTTAATAAACTTAGGATTTATTACGGTATTTTTGCACAAAGTGAAAAGTATTTTAAAAATTGAGCTATCTCAAACATTTGTTTTAAACATTATTTTATATATTTTTTAAGCGCTTCTTTCTATTCGGATTTCCGAATAAAGGCCTCTCTTGATTCTTTTCGTCCCCACATTGGTCCTGCAGTTCTTTTAATATCGTCGCTCCAGAGCATTTGTGCTCTTCTTCGTCGTCTTTTAGCTTCATATGGCCGCCAATTACCGATTTCGTTATTGCATCGGCCATCTTTAAGACGTTCTGTATGTCCAGCCCATTTCCAGTTTAGTTTAGCTGCTTTTTCGATAAAATGGATAACAACTGTATTCAACAACATATACGTAATTGGAAAAATACCCCAAAGCTGGTTAAAGTCGACATTCGTGATCATACCAAAAAAGTAAATGCCAAGACATGCGAAGACTACAGAACAATTAGCCTAATGAGACACATACTTAAAACGTTCTTGTAAGTGATATACGGCAGAATATATAAAAAATGCGAAGAACAAGTATCATGGACGCAGTTTGGATTCCGCGATTCCTTAGGCACCCGAGAGGCTCTATTCTCTGTGTCCAAGTGCTTATACAAAGATGCAGGCATATTAACTGTGATGTGTATATTTGTTTTCTCGACTACAAAAAGGCAGTTGATAGAGTAAAGCATCATATACTTATAAACATCTTGAAAGTAGTGGGGTTAGACGACAGGGACTTGAGAATCATCTATAATTTATATTACAACCAAACAGCCAATATTAAAGTGGATGACCAATTGATAGAGGCAGTCTCCATAGATAGAGGAGCGAAGCAAGTATGCATTCTGTCCCCGGTGTTATTTAATATATACTCTGAATATATCTTTGAGCAAGCGCTGGGAGAACTGCAAGAAGGCGTATTAGTCAACGGAATGCGTCTAAACAACATTAGATATGCCGACGACGCAGTAGTTTTTGCAGATAGTCTGGACGATTTGCAAAGAATAATGTCCCGTATATCAGATATAAGCAGAGAACACGGACTTGATCTTAATACGAAGAAAACAAAGTACATGGTAGTCAGTAAGCGCGAAATATTAAACACACAGCTTTTGGTTAACCAACTGAATTTGAAAGAGTGGACAGCTACACATACCTTGGTACCAACATTAATAGCCAATGGGATCACTTCAGTAAAATAAAACAACGCATAGGAAAAGCGAGATCAGCGTTCATAATGATGAAGTCTCTTTTCAGAAGTCACGATTTACCACTTGCTACCAAAATCTCCCTCACTAGATGCTATGTATTTTCTACGTTATTATACGGAGTAGAGGCCTGGACACTTTCCGAAGATTCTTTAAGAAAACTCGAGGCATTTGAGATGTGGTGTTATAGACGTATTTTAAGAATTTCATGGGTAGATCGTGTGACTAATGTTGAGGTCCTATGTAGAATAGGCAAGGAATGCGAGATTACTAACACCATCAAAGAGCGCAAACCAGAATATCTTGGCCATGTTATGAGGAATGAACAGAGATACGGCTTGTTGCAACTCATTCTTTAGGGCAAGGTATTTGGAACGAGAGGACTAGGGAGAACAAGAATATCTTGGCTTCAAAACCTGAGAAAGTGGTTTAATACGTCGACAACCGGGCTATTCAAAATAGCAGCAAGAAAAGTTAGGATAACCATGTTGATCGCCAATATCCGTAACGGATAGGCACCGTAAGAAGAAGAAGAATGAATATTTTATATGACCTATTTCAAACATTATCTACCGTACAACTCCCGCAGAAAGTGTTTGCTACATCTGGTGGCAAACAAGTAGGTGCAATTAAAAGCACCGAACGAGGTTTCCAGGTGACAGTTGTTTGTTGTATCTGCACTAACGGGAGCTATATTCCACCTACTCTAATATTTCCATGAAAAATATAAAAGAGGGAATTAGCTGACGATATACAGGCAGGAACTTTATGTATTCCCAAGGAGACTTGGGAATACATAACCAGAAAGCAAATATCCGAATAGAGCAAGAGACAACGGAGGAAATCGAGATCAAGAAAGGCGTAAGACAGGGTTATATACTCTCACCGATCTTATTCAATCTATACTCCGAAGACATTATAAACACAGCACTTTCGGATCAAAATATAGGTATTAAGATAAATGGCATCCGAATAAACAACTTGAGATATGCCGATGACACGGTACTAATCGCAGAAACTTGGGAAGATCTTCAAATACTAATTAACAAAATAGTAGAATGCAGTGAAGAACACGGATTATCACTTGACATAAGCAAAACAAAAATAATGCTAATATCTAAATCACCACAAAACTTCCCTGACATAACCGTGCATGATCAAAGAATCGAACGTGTAAGAAGATATAATTACCTGGGAACTGTTATCAATGAAAATAATGATTGCTCTGAAGAAATCAGAACCAGAATAGAGAAAGCTAGAGCCACATTTACTAAATTGAAAAAGGTGTTCTGCGGAAGAGATCTAAGTCTAAAACTTAAAATTCGCCTTTTGAGATGTTACGTTATGTCAGTTCTCCTCTACGGGATGGAAACATGGACATTGAAAAAGATCGATACCAAAAAGATAGAAGCATTTGAGTTGTGGATGTATCGTAGAATATTAAGAATACCCTGGACAGAGAAAGTAACAAATGTGGAGGTTTTGCGGAGAGTGCGGAAAGAGAAAGAGCTGATACTTACTGTTAAAAAGCGCAAACTACAATATTTGGGACATGTTATGAGGGGAGATAAATACCAGTTGCTGCAATTGACTACACAGGGAAAGATAATGGGAAAGAGATCTATAGGAAGAAGAAGGCATTCATGGTTCATGGCTCATGGCATCATGGCTCATGGCTCATGGCTCATGGCATCAAGTCAAACTTCGGAACGAAGACGGCACTTGAAGAAGAAGGAGACTTGCTGGATGACAAGTCCAGTGTTTTTATAATGGTTGCAGCATTTCCAAAAATATGCCAAGGCTTTTTCCACTGAAAAGGTGGATAGACATTTAAGTCATAAATATCTTGATGCTCTACTAAGCCAAAGAAAATGGCATTGTACTTTTATGTTTGCCGGCTCTCTTTTATGTATGTGGACATCGGATGCAACCTCTCGATTCTTTGATCCACTTAAAATCTATTATGACTAAGAAATATTCAAATGGCTCAAACCTCATCCTGACCGAGTTGTGACTCAGTTCTAAATTGGTGGTCGGTTAAATGAAGCCTATGGAAAAGTACGTAATGTCCAGAATACTGCTCATGGATTTTCTAAAACTCAATAAACCCCGATGTATTCTCCGATTACATGTTTCAAGCATTTAAAACTACAAATATTGGAGTAGATAATCTCAAACCTGCTGTAAACGTTTATGATAATAATGAAGAACTTGGACCTTTTTCTTCTACCATAGAAGTCCCTAATAGGATGACAGCTTAGTGAAACTTGCAAAATCCAACAAGTGACATTTTACTAGCGGTTATTCCGGCAGATTTAAGTCCAGTTCCAGTCGAACCATTTGTTTCCGGTCAGACAAAAAGAAAGGCAAGGAAACGTCAAGGCATTCTATTCTTAACTGAACTCGTTATGTTCTTCTTCTTCTTCAGATGCAAATCCACTAGTGGATGTTAGCGATCACATTTTCCGTTAATTCCCTATTTCTTGCAATATGTATCAGAGATTGTATGTCATTAATCCCTGTCCATTGCCTTATGTTTCGGAGCCAGGACATTTTTTTGCGTCCCATTCCTCTCTTACCTTTAATTTTATTCTCGATTATAAGTTGGAGGAACTGGTATTTTTATTTCGCATGATGTGACCTAGATACGCCGTTTTCCTTTTATTGATGGTTTCGAAAAGTTGGCGTTCTTGGTTTATTCTTTTAACGACAAATAGAGCCAAACGATAGAGCCAAATTTCGAAAACTTCTAATTTGTTTATATCCTTCGTTTTGAGTGTCCAGCCATCTACGCCATATAGCAGCACTGACCACACATAGCACCTTATTGAATTTTACGAAAGCTTGTCGAGCTTGCTCAATGCGACATTTTACTTCCCTGTCTGATGCCCAGTCTTCAAAAAGCCACAATCCCAGGTATTTAAATTTACTCACTCTTTCAATGGACTTAGTGTTCAGTGTTATGGTGGAGTTTTCAAGTGCATCCAAGTTTCTGGAGATGATCATAAATTTGGTTTTTTTTTGGTATTAATCTCTTATCCCATTCGCTTACTGTATTCTCCGATTATAGTGACAAGTTGTTGAAGATCGACTATGTTGACACAAATTAAGACACCATCATTAGCATATCGTATGTTGTTGATCAATACTCCATTCACTTTGATTCCCATCTTTGCATCCTCCAAAGACTCTTGAAATATGGCTTCCGAATAAATGTTAAATAAAAGAGGGGAAAGCATACATCCCTGTCGAACGCCCCTTCTTATATGTCTCTCTTAAGTTAGAGGAGGCAAAAGAAAAAAGCAAACCTAAACCAGAAATCCATCCAAAAATAAAAAAATTGCAGTAAAAAAGAATGTTTTATACAATGCGAGTCGAAAAACGAAAGAGAACCTTTTCCTGCTGATAAAGAAAATGATAATGCTGCTTGCATTTACTTTACAGAATTGTACCAGTTGTTAAAAAAAGGATCTATGGCTATGCGGTTGTTCGTGTCAAAAGTGGGCATATGCTGAGTGTGCCGGACTAGACAAGAAAACAAAAATGTTTTTTTGTGAGATTTGTACCGACTGAAGAATATCAATCACTATTAATGTGTCATTTTGCCCGCTAGGTGGGATAAAATGAACTTTTCTTGTTCATTTCTATATGTTTGGTTTAAAGTTTAAATTTTTTCTACTTTGTTAAAAACTCGTGTTTCAGATATTTTAGTTTGTGTTCTATCTAAGTTTTGTTTAAAAAAAAATTATTTCTTTAAGTGAAATTTTCGGTTTTTTGAAAATGTATGTCATTTTGTACACCGATTCCATTATAGCGCAAAAATCTATTGTTTGAGAACAAGTACCTGAAAGTGGGATGATTTTAACTAGTTTAAACAATTTAATACTTACAGTGCCTCATCAATCAGTCTCATACGATCTAAGCCGGGATGTTTATTTTCGTAAAAATCGGGGATCAAATCTCGAACAGTATAGTACATATCTAAAGTTCTTTTGGTTTTTTCGGTACTAAATTTACAATTTGTTAAAAAATATTCAATCGTGTTATCACCTAAAAAATTGGTAAAATGCTATAAAATCTTATTATATCCCTGTATTTATTTGTTATACTATATATATGCTATATACTTTACAGTTTGCAGATGATCAGGTGGTGATCTCAAATGACAAAGACGACATGGAATACATGCTTAGAAAACTAATTGAACAATACCAGAAATGGGGATTAAATATCAATTTAGCAAAGACAAAATACCTCTCAATTGGAGCTGAAGCAGAACAACTCGATATGGATGACAATAAAAAAATAAATCCATGTGACGAATGTAAATACCTGGGCGTCATCTTCGACCGTAGTGGAAAAGACGAACGAGAAATAGAACATCGAATTGTACAAGCACAAAGAGCTATAGCATGTTTGAACGGAGTTCTATGAAGTAAAGAAATATCAAAGAAAATAAAATGGAACATCTATGAGACAATGGTTAAAACTAGCCTACTTTATGGAGCTGAGACATGGAGAATAACCGAGAAATATAAGAAAAAAGTCGAAGCCACGGAAATGGATGACATCAGAAGATCGATGAGAATATCAAGAGCCGACAGAATACGGAATGAAGTGATAAAACAACAAATGGGTATAGAGGGCACTATAGTTGAGGATATTGAGAGAAAACAGCTCATATGGTATGGGCATGTCAGCCGAATGGGAAACGAAAGATTGCCCAAAAAAACAATGATGTGGCAACCACCAGAGAAGAGGAAACGAGGAAGACCACCACAGAGCTGGAACCTGGGAGTTAGGAAAGCGATTAGCGCTCGAAATCTGGACGAAGACCTAACTCACGACAGAATACAGTGGCGTTTGGGAGTTGGACAACGTCGTAAGACGTTATGAAACCGAATATATATATATATATATATATATATATATATATATATATATATATATATATATATATATTTGTTATCTATGACTTGCGGACCGTTTAAGTAGTATTATATGTGGGGTTGGAACATACGTTTCCTATTAAACCACTTCGTTTAACACGTTGCCTGCTAATTGACCGAGAAAAAAATTACTCTGCACTCCAGAGATGTCTATTTGACCGAGAATTTTAACGTGAATGTGGTGCCGTCTTGGTCAATGTGACTGAGACGTTAAATTGGACGACACGTACAATATTTTTTTTTGTAAGTATTAATAAGCAGAATAAGTAATATTAAGTATTAATCAAGCATAATTTCTCTAAAAATTTTATTGGTTTTTAGTTAAAAGCGTCCGAAAGCGTATTATTTTCTTATGCGAACAAATATTTCGAACCAAAGTATACATTCTCTTCTCAAACATTAATTAGCTTAGGTCTAATTTATAAAAAAATTACTATACGATTTAACAAGATGAATGAAATACTCTCTGAAATTAAAGAAAACTGTGAAATCTTTTTACTAGGAGATTTAAACGGCAGAGTAGGGAGAGAAGAAAATAACAGAGAAGTCGTAGGAAGATATGGGGAACAAATAACCAATGACAACGGAATGCGTCTTAGAGATTTTTGTGAAACAATGTCTCTCAAAATTATGAATGGATTTTTTCAACATAGAGATATCCACAAATTTACATGGATACAACCTACTAGAAATCTGCGCTCGATAATCGACTATGTAATCCAACGTCAAATTTCCCAGCTGAAAACAACTGACATAAGGGTATGTGGATCAGAATGTGGATCCGACCATCGTTTAGTTATAATCAACGTGATATTTAACTATCGCAAAAACAATAACACTCAGGTACAGAATATAGAAAAAGGACAAGAAGTAACATCCCCTAAATATAACCTAGAAAGCTTAAAAGAAGATTCAACGAAACTTCTTTACAAATTACGACTGGCCACAAAACTATGTGGATCGAGAAAATATATCAGCGGAAGAATTATACCAGCAATTTAAAAAATGCATTCATGAGGCTGCAAGTGAAGTTTTGGGTTATAAAGACAAACATAAAACAAAAAATCAAGAATGGTGGTCGGAGAATATGCAAACGTTAGTCAACAAGAAGAAAACTGCTTATCAGAAATGGATGTCAACGAGAAATAAGGAAGATTACAAGATATATCAGAAATTAAATCTAGATGTAAAAAGAGAAGTAGTGAAAAGTAAAAATGAGATGGGGGACCAAAGATGTGCAGAGGTGGATAGGTATATGGGTGGAACAAGAGTTGGGCAAGCTTGGAAGGTGATAAAGTCTCTCCGGAGAGAAGGAAAGGAAAAATCTAACTTACAGTTAATAGATCTGAAACAGTGGAAACACCATTATGAGGTCTTATTGGCAGAGAATAGATTTAATTCCAAGAGATCGAAATGGAAGGAATATCCGAATACACACAAATAATTGAAATATCAACCGGAGAGTTAAACGATGCCCTCAAAAGATCGAAAAATGGTAAAGCAGCAGGACCTGGAGACATTCCAATTAAGTTGGTAAAGTATGGACCAAAAATATTACATGAGCTGTTGGTTCAACTATTTAACAAATGCTTAAAAGGACAAAATATCCCTGACGATTGGAATATTGGATACATCAGCTCAATATTTAAGAAAGGGGATAAACGCAAATGCTCTAATTATAGGGAAATAACTGTTACCAGCTCAGTGGGGAGGTTTTACGGTAGAATAATAAAAAAAAGAATAGAATCAGAATACAAAGACATAGAAGAACAAAATGGATTTCGTGCAGGAAGATCGTGCACTGATGGTATATTCGTTTTGCAGCAGGTAATCGAAAAACGGAAGGCAAGAAATCTATCTACCCACCTACTGTTTGTAGATTTAGAGAAGGTATACGATACGGTATCTTTGAAAAAACTGTTCCAAACATTGACGAAAGTAGGTCTCAGTAGAGAGTATGTGAATGCTATCACAAATATATACAAAAATTCAAAAAGTGTCGTTAAAGAAGGAAACTTTATATCTGAATCATTTCCAATATCAAAGGGGCTTAAACAAGGATGTTTTCTATCTCCGACCTTATTTAAAATATATATTCAATAAAAAAAACATAGAAGTTAAAACACTTCACACATGTGTATTGTGGTATAAAAACAAACAAATATTTAAAATTTTATAAAAGTGTCGTCACCATTTAAAATCTGGAACGTTTTCAATCTGAACAGATCATCCTCAGTGCCTTGTGTATTTGTTGCTAACAGTAAAGTTGTCTATAAGACCTCCATGTATGGAATTACAGTATTCCAAATTTTACATTTAATAATGTTTTGACTCCAGGTCGATGACAATGGATATATTTGTAAAATTACTTTAGGGACTATATATCTCCCCGCTCGAATATTAGCACGTGGTATTTGTCAGTTGAAACGACACAGATCAACTGTGTCAGTAAAAAATGTAAATAAATCTCATCATTCAAAATAAAAGGTAATTGACATATCTGTATAACATATCATTCAAAATTCATATTTAAAATGCATGTCCTATGGTTTGAAATCATTGGTAATTATTTTTTTACGGATATGCGAATAACCGTGGAATTTGAATGTCGAGATTTATTTACATTTTTTATAAAATGATTTTATTGATTTACTGGAAGAATTGTCATCAAACTTAAGGCAAAATATGTGCTTTCTACAAGATGGTACACCATAACGTTACAGAGAAAACGGAGTGAGACAATATTTAAATACAACTTTCCTGAACGTTGGATTGTTCATGGTAATCATATTCTTGTGGTGAGATGTTAACATAATTATTTAATTCATAAAAAATTCAAAAAATTACCTATTATTATACTTATAACACTAATAATAAATACTGCAGTAGTTTTTTTAAAACCAATGGTGCTATTTCATGTGAGACGATATTTTATGGAATGTATTGACAAATGAATTAAAGAAAATGGTGGACATATTGAACACTTACTTTGACAAAAATTTTAATGTTATTTAGTTTAACTATTTCTTAATTTGGTTTGTAAATATAATGTTTTAATTATGACTTTAATTTAATACAAAACGCAAAATGTTTAATGTAAAATCCAATTATTCTGTTATTTATCAAATACTATTATTTTATCCTGCTGATATATTTACTTTATTTAATAATTCGTTAACTATTAACTTTATTAAAGGTATTTTATACCAAAATTCGGAAGTATTGATGTTTTTGTTTAATTTTCTTTCGTTGTCTGGAGTAATTGCGATAAATCAGAATTATGTAGTTGATTTCTAAAATGCGATTATCGGGAAAACTGTTGAGTTTTTAAGGTATTAACAAGTATAACTTCTTTTTGTTAAATAATGTATCTTTAATATTTTTTATTAAAAATATCGGTAACTTGAAGAGCAAAAAAGTTAAGTGCAAATGTATGCCACATATGTGGCATATGTGGCGCTCTCTATTAGCAACATCAAAGTATACATCAAATTATAATTTTTGATATTTAATAGTACCCAGTTGTAAATTTTTATACATAAATGTTGACAAACATGAAAGTTATAGCGAAAAATAAAATTTTAAATTTCCACCTTAACACCCTGTATCTTTCTTAGTATCAACGTTTTATTAAAGCAACTTAACCTAAATCGTAATATTTTAAAGTGTAGAATCTACGGTTTCTTTTTGTACAATTACTTCATGACCATCCTGTATATTATATTATGATCAAACTGTGTAAGAAATTAAAACATAAACAAAATTCCTACTCTAAAAAAGCTGCAACCTTTTATACACTTTTGCCACACGCTGAACTGTCAAAAAAGAAGTTGCGTAGAATTGTCAAATATATTTAATTAAAATTATTATTTTGTGTAATATTAGACTTAAAGAGTTATTTCATAAAATTTGTATTATTAATAATAACAAATGTTTTTCGTTATTTAATCAAAATAATTCTAAAATTCCCAATATAATGATGATTAAATTTTTTTGATTATTACACCATGTTGCCGCCTATGAAAGATCGAGCAGTTCCGTATGGGTTTCGTATTATTAGCTGTGGTAAGAAAATTTGATCTCTAAGATTGATGTTCTGGAA